AGATGAACCCGAGAGAGAAAAATAGTAGGAGACAGGTGTTACTAAAGGAGAAATGTGTAAAAAGGGGGTAGTTAAATGGGAGGGGAAGAAGGAGGGCTATACAAAGAACTATGGGAATAAAGGGGAAGAAGGGGCTCAAGAGAGGTGGGACCATAGCAGACAGAAATATCAAGGGAGAAATGGGGAAAATAGGGACACTTTAAATTAGGAGGGTGGGGAGGAAGGATAATACAGGGAGAGAAAGAGGAGAGATAAATAGTACCTAGCTAGTATAAAAAACCATTAGAAATTTTATTAGTCCAAGAACCTACTGAAAAATTACACATACAGTATTTCTACACGAGTCTGTGAGTATAGCTGAAGACTACATAACTCTCATCAATGAAGCTCCCTCATGCAACAGAGGGCCAGGAATGCAAAAGGTCACAAATACTAAAATGCAGAGAATAAGAGTCTGCAGAGTGTTGGTCCTTGGACAAGACTCCTATATTAAAAATCCACCCACCCAGAGCTCAGGGACCATCGCAGAAGAGGGGGCAGAAAGATTGTAAGAGCCAGGGAGAAGTTCCATGACCATACAGAAATAGTCCTACAGGCACCTGGGACCCTTCTCATAAAAACCTACAGCAATGATGTCAGCATGCACAAGACCCATGTAAACTTAAGCAGACAAAAACCCAGCACAGAACTGTGGAAATGAACAGCAGGCTCCAATCTTAAAGAATTATTGGCAGCTGATTACTGCAGGGTGCGGAAGAGCTGATCTTCTTAAAGGGAGGGACTCTAGATAGGCTGACTAGATCCCAGCGGATGAACTTGTGCTGAGGGACATCTGGGGACACTAACTTTACATGATGCTAACAGAATGCATGAACACCAGTGGGGGGATGCTATGGGAGGGTGCCAAAGGGGAAGGGGGTACAAAGATGATTTTCTGTATGAAATACACAAAAGTTCAATGAAAAATATAAAAAAACCATTAGTGAGATGATATTCATTATCATCAACTAGAGTCCCTGTCTTTATAATACTTCCTTTTTGATTAATGTCTTCTGCTTCCTCCAGATCTCACTTAGGATATTCTTACTATGTGTCATGTCCCTAGGCTTCCAAGACTTCCTGGTACTAGAAGATGCTCTATGCTCATCTTAGATGATTCCAGTTCCATCTGAGAATCAGCCATTTCCCAAGGAGTCCTGATTCCTTTTATTTGATATTGGTATTAGAAATCAAGATTTGGGGGCTGGAGAGATGGTTCAGTTGGTAAAGTGCTCACCATGCAAGAATGAGTACCTCAGTTCTATCCCCAGAACCCATGTGGGTGACTTGTCCTTGTAATCCCAGTGATCATGGTGCAGAGACAGGTGGATTCCTGGGGTTCACTAGCCAGCCATCCTAGCCTAACTGGTGATCTCTATGAGACCCTGTGTCAAAAAACAAGGCTGACAGGGTCTGAAGAACAGCACTTGAGGTTGTCCTTTGGCTTTTTTTTTTTTATAGTCAAATATACATGTGTACCTGCATCCATGGGAATACATACATACACAAGAAATCAAGTTATGTATGTGCTCCCTTTATTTTTGGAAAGATCATTTGGCTGCATATAAATTTCATGGTTGGGCTGAGGAGATGGCTCAGTCAGTTAAGTGCCTGCCACATAAGCTTGACAACTTGAGTTTAGATCCCCAGCATCCATGTACAAGCCAGATGTAGTGTGCACATCTTCAACCCCAGTGGTGGTGGGCATGGAGGGTCTGGAGACAAAAAGATAGCTAGATCTCACTGGCCAACCAGCCAGACTGATGAAGTTCCAGGTTCAGTAAGAGACCCTGTCTCAAAAAATAGAGTAGGAAGCCATCAAAGAGGACAACCAATGTTGACCTCTGCCTCCCACACACTCACATGTAGGCACACCTATGCAAACACATGCATAGACCACACGTGTGCACATACACACACACAGTTTCTTGGTGACAGTTTATTTTCTTCTTTCCTATGTCGTCCTTCTTAGCATGTGTCATCCCATTGCCCCCTGGCTCCCATTGTTTCGGATGAGCAGTCAGCTGCTGATCTCATCAAGCTGTCATGCAGGACAAATTGTTTTCCCTTACTACTCTCAACATCTTCTCTCTGCTTGTCATTCTGCATTCTGAGTGTGCTGTTGGATTAGATTTCTTTGTGTATTTATTCTATTTGGAGTTTGGTGACTTATTTGGGTGTTTATCTTAATGTTTTTAAAATAAAAATTGAAAAGTTCTTAGTCATTGAATCTTTGAGTAGATTTTCTGTTTCTCTGCCTTCTCCCTTCTGTTACTCCCATCACATGCATGTTGGCACACTTCTGGTATCCACATTTCTCTGAAACTGTTCATTTATCTTTGTTCTTCCCCACCCAGCTCTTCATGTTGCATAATTTCTAGCAATCTATGTTTGAGTTTACTGATTACTTCTTCTAATGGCTTAAACATACTATTGCTTACCCTCAGTAATGGATATTTTCCTTTCCATTATTGTATTGAAAAGATCCCATCGACAGATGTGGTGGTGCACACCTTTAATCTTAGCATTCAGAAGGCAGAAGCAGGCAGATATCTGTGAGATTGAGGCTGGCATGATCTACATAGTGAATTCCAGGCCAGCTGAGGCTACAGAGAAACCCTGGTTAAAAAAAGGGGTCCCAGAGTCCTCATTTAAAAAATATTTTTATTGATATTCTCTATTTGCTGAGAGATTATCATTCTGTAGTGATAAAAATCTTTCAAAAATATTTTTGAGACTGAGTCAAGATATATATTCTCCCAGGGTGGTTTCAAACTCTTGATCCTCCTGCCTCAGCCTTCTGAGTGCTGGGATTAGAGGAACACACCACCACACCCAGCTTTCCATTAAGTCTTTATGATTTACTCTGGTCTTTGAATAGCTGCCTTGAAAACTGTGCTTAGCTTGCCATCTGGACTGCTCCAGAGGCAGTTTGTGTTGCCTGCTTTTTGTGTTTTGTTTTCTGTGTGGGCTGCACTTTACTGTTTCTTTGCCCGCCTCATAATTTTGAGTCGTCATTGTTCAGCAATTTGGCTGGACCAGGTCAGTAGATTCAGCGTCCCCTGTGACTAGTGTCCTCAGGGGGTGCAGCCTTGTCAGGCATGCAGTCTGATAGCCAGGGATGGCTGCGGTTCCAGCTGAGAAGATTGCTGTTCGTTAGTTCTCTTTGGTTTTCCATCTTCCTACTAAGCTCCTGGATGCCTAACAATGGCATCACACTCAACCTTTTTTAACTCAGCTTTTGCCTTTAATTCCTTCTTAGTTTTTCTGTTACTTTCAACAGTACTCTGAGATATAGTCTTACATTCTGATACAATTTTAAGTAAGGCTTCTTTTCAGAGAGCAACGTGTTATCAATCTTTGAGGCTTTCTCCAAACCCAGTGAGGCACTTCTTGGTCTGGTTCTGTTAAACATCTGGCTGGTCTCATGTTTTCTTGTCTCTTGTTAAACCAAAAGACTCCTCTAAATTGTCCATCCCAAAGAGTGCCATCATTCCTTGCAAAGTGCTTAGGCATGAGTTCTTCACACTCTTTCAAATGACAAATCGCTTAGGCAGCCATTCAGAACTCTGGGACTGACAGTCTCTTCCTTTAGGCAGAACTCCTGCTATGAATATAAGGATGGGAACAGTGGACCACATTTCCTGTAGTGGCATCCCTGTTGTACAAGTGGAATGATCTGGGGGATCTTCACATGACTGTCAACAGCTGTAGTATATGTTTTATGCTTAGCGGTGTTGTTTGTCCTCCTCTTCCTCCTTCTTCTGCAAGAAAAGGTCAGCCCAAACTGACCTTAAACTCCTAATCCATCTGCCTCAGCCAGCCTTCTAGTTCTGGGATTACAGGTGTATACTGTCATGAGAGAATATCTTGGGTAGTCACTAATCATCCTGACAAAAAAAGAGTATGTACTATGGTTCTGGGCATATCCTTAAATCTAACCACAGCTCTCTGTGCTAATCAGACAGGAGAGATAGTCACTAAACACTGGGTCAGTTTATATTACCTTATGAAAACAATAGTAACTCATTTTCTTAATTTGCACCACAGTTAATTAAAGCAGTGCTTCTCAAATTGTAAACCAATCATATGGAGATATTATTAAAGTACAGACTGATAGGATGGATCTGGGATGGCCCAGGTTTCCATTTCTAACCCATCTCCAGGTAATGCCAGTGCCAGAGATGCAAGGAATTCAAAGGCAATCCCCAGTGAGGAAGATTTGCCACCACAGGTTAACCTATGAAATAATAGCATTCCAATTAAAATACCAAGTAGTTTTTTTTCCTCTTTCCTTCATCTCGTTCTCTTTATTTTCCTTCCTTCCTTCCTTCCTTCCTTCCTTCCTTCCTTCCTTCCTTCCTTCCTTCCTTCCTTCTTTCCTCTCTCTCTTCTCTCTCTCTCAAATATCTCATATAGCTCAGGGCTGACCTCAAACTTGAATATAATTAGGGATAAACTTGAACTCTTCATCTTCCTGCTTCTGCCTCCTGGGTTTATATATGTACTTAAGCCACTGAAATGTGTGCTTAAAAATGGTTAAAATGGCAAATTTTATATTATGTCTATTTTATAATTAAAGATGACAGGAAAGTGAATTGAAATGGATGAAACCAGTGTTTGCAAATACACAAGTTTTCACACACACACACACACACACACACACACACACACAAGAAAAACTTAAGGAAAGCATAGTCCCTAATTAAAGGAGAGAAAGAAAGGAAAAAACAAAATGAGGAAGGGAAAGAATGGATGGGGAAGAAAGTTCTAGTCACTCTAGTGTTTTTGAACTAGATGAAAACATCACAATCTGTTATTTAAAAAAAAAAAACAATCAGAGTCTTGAGACGGCCCCCACCCTTTATGAAGGTAACTTTCAAGTTTGGAAGCACATTGAGCCTGTGGAGTGGTGCAGGAGCTCCCAGGGTTCCATGGGCTATGGATCCTCTCCAACTTAGTACAGGGCCAAAGCCCAGATCTTGAACAAGAAGTTACGGAAGCAGCTGGCTGAGTTCCGGGCACCACAGGTGATGATGTACGTCAAGGAGAAGATCTTGAATGGGGACCTGGAGAAGACCATCAAGACATGGGAGAGGAAGGTAGAGATTGCCGAGGTGAGTCTAAGTCCCCAGACAGGATTGAGTCTCGTTGACTCTGCCTTGTTTATGGGATCACGGAATCTCTCATGCCCTCAGGCTCTTTAGTATTTTCTTAGGATGAGATTATAGAAATGTTAGATGTATTATATCTTTGTAGTTGCTTCAACTGTTAAATGAACAATGGATTTTTTTTTTTTTAATGTTCCTGCTTCATTGAATTTAGGGACACTACGTTTTAGGAATCAGGAGAGACTGTGTGTTCTTAGTTGTTTGTTTCTATAATGAATTCTAGAAGCTTCTGAATCTCTCCACACCATGGTTAATTAAGTAACTGCTGCTTTTTTTTTTTTACATGAAGACAGTTTTTTAAAATTTATTTTTATTTATTTACTTTTTATGTGTATGAGTGTATTGCCTGCATGTATGTGAATGCACGCATGTTGTGCAGTGCTGCAGAGGTCAGAAGAGGGCTTCAGATTCCCCTGGAACTGGAGTTAAGGATGGTTAGCAGCTGCCATGTGGGTGCCGGGAATCGAACCTGGGTCCGCTGCAAGAGCAGTCAGTGCTCTTAACCACTGAGCCATCGCTCCAGCCCCAAGAAGTTTTTAAGAGAATGAGAAACCAGGATTTAATAGCATTGAGATGCTGACTCCATGTGTTTACATAGCTGCCATGAGCCTCTGTGTTTGTAACTAAGCCTGTAGCCTTTGAAGTGGGCAGCGGGGGAACCGCTGGTGCTGGTGTCAGCAGCTTGAACACCCAGACCATCTGCTGCCTACACACCTAGGGGACCATTAGTGTAGGTTAAAAGCCCAGTCGGCTGCTGGAGAAACTAGGAGCTTTCCACTGGCTCCCAGCTCCATTTTCTTCACATGGTCACTTGGTGACACAGAGGACATTAGGGTCCTGACCTGTATCCATCATAGCTGGAACTGAGATGCGACAGAAACTCCAGCAGGGGTTTGCAACGTCTCACTATTCCTGGACAAAAACTCTTTTAAAGAGTCTTTTTGGGTTTTTTTTTTTTTTTTTTTTTTTTTTCCTGAAACAGGGTCTTATATATCACAGGCTAGCCTCAAGTTACTATGTAGCTGAGGAGGATCTGGAACTTCTGATTCCCCTGCCCCCACATCCCAAGTGTGTCCCCACTCAAGGTTTATATGATGCTGGGAATCAAACTCAGGACTTCATGCATGCTGAGTAAGAACTGCACCATCTGAGCTACATCCCCAGCACTACAAGGTTTTTTTTTTTTTCTCTTAATGTGTATACATGTATTGCCTGCATGTAGGTAAGTGCACCCGTATCATGCAATGCCCTCGGAGGTCAGAAGAGGCTGTTGGATTCCCTGGGACTGGAGTTCAAACAGTTGTTAGCTGCTATGTGGGTGCTGGGATGCAAACCCAGGTCTTTTGCAAGAACAACCACTGTTTTTTCTTTTTCTTTCTTTCCTTCATGGGGACTGCCGAGCCATCTCTCCAACACCCTACAAGGGTCTTTTGGATAGATGTTGCCCCGTGATGTTGTCTATGAACTAGTACACAGCAGGACCCTGTCCTCCACAGGGTAAGCAGGGTGTGGATGACGCTGGCTTTTAGAATAGGCACACTCAGTTTTTCCCAAGTGACCTTCTCCCCTCCTCCTTTTTCCATTTTGCAGATGTCCTTAAAAGGCTACCGCAATGCTTGGAATAAAATGAAAACATCTGATGAGCACCTGCAGAAAATCCGGCCCCTTAAGAAATAGCCAGGGGCAACCTGCAGCTTGCACACCAAGAAGTGATCCATTAAAGCACTCTAGTGTTTTCCAATCATGCAGTTCTCTGGTGTTCCCTGTACCCAGCTAGTGCCCTTCACCGGCAGGTTGATAGTCACCTGCAGAGCCACATCTGCCCATGGGAATGTCTTTCCAGCCTGAACCTTGGAACCCTTAACACTGAAAGAACCACAGGGTACTCTGATGGTTTGACACTTGTTTGCCCACATTTAGTTCACAAGCACAGATGGAAGTGACCTTCTCACATGCGGGAGTGGGAGTGGAGGGAGAACCAGCCTGGTGCTGCCATAGGCCTGCCTATGGCAGCCCGGGTGGCACCCATCAAGAACAGATACCAGAATAGCACATGGATGCCTAGCACCTTATTCTCTGAGCTTCTTCAGTGTGGTGATAGGTTGGCTCCTAGCTAGACACCGCTGCCCAAGAAAACAAGCACGAGGGTCATCAAGATCCGTTCTTGGGACTGATGCACCCTGTTCTGGCCAGCCAAAGCTCCACCCTCTCCTGCCTCCCCACCATAGTAGTCATAGTACATGGGTTGAGTGGCCACCTTTGAAGCCCAGCCTGTTTCCTGAAGACCTTTTACCCTGATGTCCTGCCCATTTTTAGACTCCTGGTAAACAGTGGATCCTCCTTTTACTTGAGAGTAGGATCGGGGCCATTCAGCATGGCCCTGTTCAGAATATAGCTTCTCTGTCATGCCAGCATGTGATTCGTCTTGGGAGTCAGTGGCCAACTCCTCCCAAGGGTGGAATGAAGTCAGTAAAGGGCCAGTTTTCTTGGCCTTGGCCATGATCCAGTTGCTGTAGTCTTCCACGTTGGAGTACAGAAACAAGCCAGGACACCAGTCTCCTCCATAGGTCAGGATTCCTCTGAGGACCCAGAGATCCAACTGCTTCACCTGACACATCACAGGGTTTCCTGGTTCCCCCTGTGACAAAGGACAGAGGTCTTTAGGTCTCAGAAAAACTTTAACAGCAAATCCTTGTGCTACTGTCTGTAGAATTGTCTGTTCTAGGAAGTTTTGCATTGTTTCTCCCTGGAAATGGGGCAAATTATAGGATACTGTTTCAAATCTAGGCAGCCACCACCACAAATTCATTCTCTCTCTCTCTCTCTCTCTCTCTCTCTCTCTCTCCGTTTGTGACAGGGCCTCATATAGCCCACTTACTATGTCACTGAAGATGTTCAATTCTTGATCCTCATGACTCCACCACCTTCTGAGTGTTAGGATTACAGGCCTGTGTACAGCACCTGGTTTTCTTTAGGCAGAGCTGAGGATCAAAGCCCTGAACCCAGTGCTTCATGCATGCTAAGCAAGTACCCTCTGGTGAGCTATTTCTCCAAGTATTTGGTTACTAGTTTTTATATGTATGTTTTGTCTGCATGCATATAAGTGCACATGTGCGCAAATGCACAAAGGCTAAAAGAGGGTGTTGGATCCCCTGAAACTAGAGTTACAGATGGTTGTTAGCTGCCATGTGGGTGGTGGGAATCAAACTCAGGTCCTCTGGAAAAACAGCAAGTGTTCTTAACTGCTGAGCCGTCTCTCCAGCCTCCCAACCTTTCCTTTTAACACGCAGATGATCTGTGGCTCTGATCCCCAGACTGCCTGTAGCTTCCTGGTTCATTTTTTGCTGTCTTGCCTCTTTCCAGTCTTTGAATCTTCCCTCTCTTTTGGCTACTTGTTCATCCAATATCAATATTTCCTTTCTGATTTGGAATGGTCACACTTCTGAGCCCTTTTCTCTTTCTTGCTTCCTAAGGGAGAACTTCATGGAGGAGAGAGTTCTCAGGAGCATACAGCAGGGTGGGGTTCACAGCTTTCCCACCCCATGCTACAGCTGCCATACTGTGGCCTTGCCCTGGGATTCAGAAACGCCTCCCCCAACACTTTATCTCACTAAGATCACTAGGCAGAAGCTTAACATGCTCAACTAGCTATATGACCCTGGGCACATGGCCAATGAGGGGACACAGCTAGTGCCTGTGACATGCAGACTGGTGCTGGGCATGCAGTATGCACTCTGTGAAGTATCAATCACGATAACCTTGGGATCTATGAAAGGCCATCAGTTTTCTGCAGAAAGCAGAGGAAAATGGGAAAGTAACAAGATGACTAAAGGGTGGCATTTACCCTATCTGTTCTTCTCAGGCCCCATCTCAGTGCCCAACAACCACTCCCATCATGATCCATTGTGGTCTGAGAGAGAGGGACTAGTCAGCCTCCTGTATGGCCCCCTCGACTGAAGAGGCAGGCAAGCTGGGCAATGATGTGCCGTTCTTGTCGTGTGGAATGAGGCAACCAGGGAGCAGCCGACAAGAGGAAACAGTTTGAAAAGACTCCAGTGTGAGAAACAGAGAGGCAGAGTGGGCATCCCAGTCCCTTCTCATCTGAGGCCTGGGTACTGTCTGCCAGGCAGTCCCCTCCCAGAATACCTCACCTTGCTTAGGAAGCTAGAGCAGAGCAGAGCTGAGGGTGAATGGTGGAAGGAGTACTGCAAACAGGCAGTGGGGAAATGCATACGTTCTGTAGATGCCATGCTGTCTGGGTAACATCTCAGAAGCCAAGACTGGCCTCACAGGTGAGACCTTCTGGACCTCATTCCCTGCTACTCCTCCAGGGAAGGGGCAGCCCAGTACTCTCGTGTTTACCACTGTCTACTGTGTCACCCCACACTGCTGAACCGCAGAAGGTAGTGATGTCGTTTCAGAGTTCTGGCTGGATACTTGGGACAACTGAACGGCTCTTGTCTACAACCCACTGAGGCTGCCTGGGGCACAGAGCTCCCTGGTGAAGGATGGTGTGGTCTCCATCCTTTCACCACTCCCATCCCCAACTAGTCCTAACCATACTTGAGGAAGGAAGTGAATGGAATTTAGGCCACATACCTTGATGGCCCTGGCTATCACATGGTCTTATTAACCCGGGGCACTGAATGAGCTAGGTTTTTGTTGTTCCGAGTCTTTTCTCTTCCCTACAGCCTGCATAGCTATAATTTCTGAAGTAAAAGCAGCCGAGGCCACCTATACCAGTCCCCCTCTGAACAGCTCTATCATCTCTCAGGGGCATTTCATTGAGTGATTCTCTCCCTTGACATCCCACAAAACCTGTAATAATGGCAAAAATATAAAAATTTAAAAGGGTCAGAAGTGATCTCAGAGCAGTTCTGTTTTTGGCTTTGTAGGGAAACCCATTAAGCAGATTCTGAACCTGGAAGTTTATTCTGCCTGTGAGAATTGTGTTCAGGGTCTCTAGACACTAGACCACATTTCTAAGGGAGGAAAAATTTCAAAATACTTTAAGTCACCATTAAATGCTTTGCCAAGTACAATTCAGTTCAGGAGCAAAAGACTGGGGGCTCGAGAGTGGCTTTGTGGACAAAGTGCTTGCTGTGCACAAGTGAGGACTGGCATTTGGATCCCCAGAACCCACATAAATGCTAGGTGGGCTCAGAAGGCTGAGACATGGGATCCCTGGGACGAGCTGGCTAGCTAGACTAGCTGTAACAAACCAGCAAGCTCTGGGTTCAATTGAGAGACCCTGCCTCAAAGCATAAGGTGGAGAGATTGATTTGATTTTAGCCTGCAGCTTACACTTACACACACACACACACTTAAAAAAGGGCAAAAATAAAAAGTATTCATAGGGGTGCCACAGTTTAAAAACCTGAACTTTTCAGGGGGATATGAAAAGGTGATCACTTAGCATATAAATAATTTTTCATATTCCACAGAGTCTAAACACTTAACACTTAATACCTTTGCAATGAAGGTATATTTTGCATTTGTGGATACCAGAGTCTCTCTCATCATTCTTTTCTTTCTCAGCATTATGTAAAATAATGTTGGATTCTACAATTGGTGTCATCTTTGATTTAATGAAGTATGATTCTGGATTAATTGAATGATTGATTGCTAGAAGGATCTTACTAAATAGCTAAGTCTTCTACTGTATTTTAAAATATTACCTAATTTAAGAAGTTTCTCAGGTCCTCCACCTGGAAGGGGCCTAATACAAAACAGACAATAAATTTTGAACCACCTTTGGAAGAGCAAACATTGCTTAATGAGAACCAGTCTTTCATGCTTTTGCAACCAAAAGGCTTTAAGCAAGAGGTGTGTGTGTGTGTGTGTGTGTGTGGTGTGTATTGTTTTTGCCCTTACTCTAAAAAACTTGCCTTTTTAGGTCCTCCAAGAAGAAAAACATCCTAATCAGATGAGTCTTAAAGGTTATTTTTAGAGGTGAGTGGTGAACAACATCTTAGAAAGGCAGTTTTAAGTTGAGGATGTAGCTCAGTGGTAAATCATTCTCCTAGCATGTGCAAGGTCCTGGGTTTGATCCCAAGAGCATTTATGCATATGATTTTGTGTGTGTATGTGTGCATATTTGTGTGTGCATGTGTATGTGTGAGAGAGGAGAGAGAGAGAGAGACAGAGACAGAGAAAGAAACTTTACCCGCTAGCCCAAGGTTTTTCTCTTTGCTCTAACATTATTTACTAGTCTTAGGAAGCCATACTTTCTGTGGGTATAGATACCATGAGACCTAAACCAGATGACGATGAATTCTACACTTTCCTCAGTCAATTGGACAATCAGTCATAACTGAACAGAACTTGTTTACGTAGAGGGCAAGGATTCTTACATAAGAAACTTCTAATTTCTGGTAGAAGAGCAGCAGAGGACAGTCTAGGTTCCACAGATAGTGACTCTGCTGCGGACAAATGGAGGCTCGACTCACACCTTTAATTTTTAGCTCACTAATAAACATCTGTGAGTTAGATAGGCTTTATCATGTTACACTGAAAACAGTAACTCCCTAGTCTATCAGCAGATGCTTTGTTTTTTTGAGACAGGATCTTATGATGTAGCCCAGGCGAGACTTAAAAGTCACAATCCCTCTGCCTCAGCCTCCTGAGCACTGGGGTTACAGGCATGAATGGCCATATTCAGTCATTCAGCAGGCTTTTTGCTAAACACTTTCTCAGGAGACAGCTAGAGTCCCAAAATCATTGTCCCAGCCTTTATGGAATTCCCTGTCCAGCAAGAAGTAGCTCCAGGGACCCCTTGATGCAGCCAATGATTACTTCCAGGATTTAGTTTTTACTTTGTCAAATTCTTACCAAGCAGACATCATTAGTTTCCATATTGGTGTGACTGCCACATTCTGTTTTCCGTAGTTTTTGCAAAGGACACATGGCAACGTCTTTCACAGAGATTCTCCTCAGGATACTCATTGTCATGTGTTTTCCTGTCTGGACCATGCAACAGAGAGCCCAAGAATTACTAATAAGAAGACAGTCCCTTAAGTCAACACAACCAGATCCAAACATATCCAAACAGGAAGAAAAAGAAAACCTTCCTTCCTATATGGCTCCTTTCTCCATAGAAATCAGAAATCTATGCCTGAGTTTTTACTAAAAACTATCTTGGCTTTGAACTTGAATCTGTAAACAGGCAGAGAACAAGTCACCCCTCCTTCTCAAAAGAATATTCATTTCTTTTGCTTCATTTTACCCAAGAATGACAGAAAACAGGTAACTTAGACATGAGTACAGTCAGCTCTAGCTCAGGAAATAATGCCCCCCCACATCTGATGATACAGTCTGCTGTCTACACACTTTTGGTTTGGGTTTAGAGAAGAGAAAGACTCTGTGTAATACAGTATAAGAAAAGCCCCCAAAGAGCAAGCAATGGGAATCTAAGCCCTAGAACCTCGAGCAATCTGAATTACTCAGAGCAGTCCTAGAAGAGTTCATCCAAGTCACCCCCCCAACTGCTAGCACACACACAGCCTCCTCTAGGAGGATTGCATTAACTGCAGACGTGGGATTCCATCCTGACACCCAGCAGTTCTTCAAGGACGGTGGCTTATGTAGCTTTTTGCCCAGGAAGCAGATGGCCTGGACCAGGTCGTCAAAATGTATGGCAGATTCTGTCTTCAAGAGGGCTATGTTATTGCTCATTGAGTTGTTATTAAAGTCCTTGTGGAGGATGATGGTACTGACTGGGTACTCTATGTGATCATTCTTTTTAGGATCCATGTTAGCTATAGCAACCACAGCAATAACATTCTTCCTAGAGAGAAAGCAAAGGAATCTTGAGAAGTCAAGGGAGCGAGGACGCTTCCCCATCCCCTTTCCCCACTTATGGTTTTTTTTTTTTTTTTTTTTTTTTTTTTAACTTAGTGTGCAAATCCAACTCATCTTCCTTGAGTTAGGTGTTGGTTTTGTTTTGTTTTGTGTGTGTATACGAATGTATGTCACAAGTGTGCCAGTGCCTGTGGAGGCCAGAAGAGGGCATCAGATTCCATGGATCTGGATTTACAGACAGTTGTGAGCTGCCCAACATGGGTGCTAGGAGCTGAACTTGGATCCTCTACAAGTGTATGAAGCTCTTTTTAAAAATCCTTTAAAAAGTATTTTATTTTTATATGTGTATGAGTGTATTGCCCGCATGGGCATAAGTGCACCCATGTCATGTGTTGCCTGTGGAGGTCAGAAGAGGGCTTCAGAAACCTTGGAACTGGAGTTAGAAATGGTTATTAGCCACCATGTGGGACCTAGGGACCAAAACCAGATCCTCTGCAAGAGCAGCCAGTGCTCTTAACCTATGAGACATCGATCTAGCCTCCTAGGTCAGTTTCTACTCTACTCAATCTTCAGAAAAATGTCTTCTGAATCCCTAGACTTGTGCCCTCCCTTGTGAGTCCAAGGCTGTTGGGGATTCTCCTGTCCCAACACCATTTATCTTACTATCCAAAGAATGCCCATTAACATGTTATTGCTGATCACCTTTTTCCCCTACAAATTGCATTTATTTATTTATTATTTATTTATTTTAAATAATGTGTATGAGTGTTTTGCTTGCATGCATGTAAGTGCACCATGTGTATGCAGAGGCCAGAAGAGATCACATCCCTTGGAACTGGAGTAGATGGTTGTTAGCTGCCACATGGGTTCTGGGAACCAAATAGCATCCTCTGCCAGAGCAGTGCTCTTAACTGTTAAGCTATCTCTACCCCCTATGAATAGCTTTTAAACATAGTTGTAATCATACCAAATATGCAATCATGACTCTCCTAGTCTTAGCACTTGGCTCTTTTTTTTTTGTTTTTTGAGACAGGGTCTTTGTAGCCCCAGCTGGCCTGGAACTCACTATGTGGACTAGGCTGGCCTCAAACTCACAGAGATCCACCTGCCTCTGCCTCCTGAGTGCTGGGATTAAAGGTGTGCCACTATCACACCTGACTAGCCTTAACATTTTAATAAAAATTCTTATCTTTCCTACTCACATACTTGTGAGTATAGAGAAGACATGGCTTAATAGTGATGGAGTTGAGTTGGGTGTTCCCCACTTCTCCTGGGAGTCATCCAAGGAACTATGAGAATGAGAAGCAAATGTAAACACCATCAAACCAAGGGGCATGAGCGAATCCAATGCTCAGAATCAGAGGAAGGGCTGACAAAGTCAACCAAGGACAGCAGGGAGCTACAGATGGCATCTGCTGCCACAGAGCTCTGAAGAAGCTGGTCAAGATGGTTCTTAGCAAAAACACAGAAAAGAAAACCATCTCCCCTCACTGAAGGCCAAGTTAGAAGCAGCATTAAAGAACATGGAGTGGGGCTGGAAAGACGGCTTGGCAGTTAAGAGTACTGACTGTTATTGCAAAAGACCTGGGTTTGAATCCCAGCACCCAGATGGTGGGTAACAGTCATCCATAACTCCAGTTCCAGGGAATCGAATGCCCACTTCTGTCCTCCATGGGAACTGCAGGACACAGGAGCACTTATACACATGCAGGCAATACACTCATACACATAAAATAAATACATTTTTAAAAAAGAGCATGGAGCATAGACATAGAAAATAGGCTGAAAAAAGTGACCAAAATGAACTAGAAGTTGGCAAAGCTTTTTTTTCCATTTTCATTTGCATGTTTGTATGCATGTTCACATATGTGTGGGCACATGCATGTAGGCCCGAAGTTGATGTTGAGAATCATCCTTGATTGTGCTTTTACCTTATTCATTGAGGCAAAGTCTCTCAATCAAACCCAGAGCTCGACTATATGTCTAGTCATGCTAGTTAGCTTGCTTTGGGGGTCCCCTGCCTCTGTCTTCTGGAAGATGGAATTACAGTCAGGCTGCCGTGCCCACCCAGCCATTTACCTGGGTTCTGGGGATCAGAACTCCACCTCAAGCTTGCCCAGCGAGAGCTTTAACTATGAGGCAATCTCTCCATCCCATAAATTAGTAAAGCTTTTTAAAGGCTACAGAGGAAAATGACAGAGAAGACAGTCTGTAGAGACCAGCAGACAAAGAAGGCAATCAAAACAATGAAATAGAAAAAATATTTTTCAAAAATAGTTCAAGATATAACTGAAGAAAGCTTCAGAAGGACATATGGTGCACACCTTTAATCCCAGAACTCGGGAGGCAGAGGCAGGTAGATTTCTGTGAGATCAAAACTAGCCTGGTCTACATAGTGAGTTCCAGGCCAGCTGTGGCTACAGAGAGACCCTGTCTCAAAAAGACAAAAAAAGAGAAAGCTTTTCAGAAATGAGATTTGAATGTACAGTTTGGAAGGGTATTCTACCCCAGGGGAAAGATGATGGCAAATAGTAAACATTATGGGAAACAGTGACATATCCCGATCAGGCTCAGGAAGTAGATGGCATACTCAAATGAGGTAGATTTAGATGAATTCAATAAAGGGCTCAGAAAAAAGCACCATACTGTAGAGAGGCTGAGATCACAACACAGTATTGATACTACCTCTCAGCTGTAAGTGAGGAGAAGGAGTGGTCAGCTAGAGTTGTGTGGAGTGGGAACAGCTCACTTAGCTGGGGCAGGGAACCAATCTACAGTATACCTCAGGTGGATAAAGACCCTGTGACTTTACTCTCCCCACTCTCTCTAATCTTTTGTCAGTGCTTCCATTGATAAACCCCACATAAAACCAGGATGTAAGGGAAACTGTATTTGTCACTTTTCTGTTGCTGTGATAGAAACACTGACCAAGCAATTTATTGAAGGAAAAGTTTATTTGTGCTTACGGTTCCAGGGAAATCACAGTCCATCATGGCAGGGAGGCATGGTGTCAGGAGTAGGAGCAGAAAGCACAGAGCTCACATCTTCAAATAGGCACAGGAACCAAGAGAGCAACTCAAGATCCAGCAAGTCTTAAGAATTCTTGGGGCTAGAGAGATGGCTCAGTGGGTAAAAGCACTCCCTACTCTTGAAGAGGACCTGGGTTCAATTCCCAGCACCCACATGGTGGCTAACAACCATCTGTAACTCAAGTTCCAACACCCTCTTCTGACCTCCATGGGCACTGCGTGACACAGGTGCACTTATATACATGCAGGCAATACACTCATACACATAAAAATAATAAAATATATATTTTTAAAAAGAATTCTCTAAGCTCGCATCCAGTGATGTGCTTCCAGCAAGGCCACACCTTCTAAGACCTCCCAAAGCAGCACCACCAACTGTGGACAAAATGTCCAAATAGTTGGAGCCTATGGAGGACATTCTCATTCAAACCATCATAGAAACCATGCTGCAATCTACACAGGTCAACTTTCTGGGAATAAGCAAGAGGGGTGAAGAGTAGAGAGAGAATATGAGGTGACAGATGGGAGAGACCTGACATGGCTGGATATCTAGACGGACAAAGATGAAATCATCTGAAGTTTTGTCACACAATGTATTGTCTAACCTACAGAACTTGTGAAAATGAAAGGAGGTGCTAATGACAGAGACTGGGACAACAGGTGCATTCCAGGCATCTCCTGGGTATATGAGCATGTGTGGTCACCCTGTAGGACTAAAATCAGAATGACCTCAGACTTCTACACAGAAATAGTACCTGAAGCCAGGATTGGAGGTGCGGCAGGGTAGTGTCTAGAAAGTCCAACAGAAAAAGAAGTGTGAGCCATGAACAGGACATGAATCTGAGGTTGAGTTGGGGTCTAAGGCACAATGTTATAGAATGAGCTGTGACCTCCAAAAATGGGACCCTATTTGGAAACAGGGCTTTTATTTTCATACTTGGAAGTAGAAGCACCTAAGACTAAATGAAGTCATAAGGGAGGAGCCTAATCCATAGGACTAGTGTCTTCTTGTGGTTGTTGTTGTCTTTTCTTCCTTTTATGTATATATGTGGTGTATGTGTGTGTATGTATATGCACATGTGTAAATATGCATGTGGAAGCTTGAGGTCGATGTCAAGAGGCTTCCATAGCCTCTCTTCCATCTCATTCTTTGAGGCAGAGTCTCTCAGTGAAGCCCAGAGCTCACTATGCAGCTGGTCTCTCTAGCCAGCTTGATCCAGGGAGCCCTTTTCTCTACCTTCCAAGGCTAGAATTACAGCTGGGCTGTCAACCAATCTGGCATTTAGGTAGAGATCTAAATTCTGGTCCTCTTCCTTATGCAGGAAGCACTTTAACCACTGAGCCATCCCCTCAGCCCCAACAGGACTAACGTCCTTTAAAGAGAAGAGACACTAGGAGTACCTGCACACAGAGAAGATGATACATGAAGACATAAAAGATCGCTGCCTGTAAGCCTGGGAGGAAAGAAGTGCTCTGACACTTCCATCTTGAGCTTTCCCTTGGTTGAACCACCCACCTAGTCTATGATATTTTGTTATGGAAATATGAGCTGATTGGGGTGGGGGACTCTCTCTGTGAAAAATCATTAAGAATCAGGACTGGAGAGATGGCTCAGCAGTTAAAAACACTGACTGTTCTTGCAGAAGATATGGGTTTGAATCCCAGCACCCACATGGCAGCTAACAACCATCCATAATGCCAGTTCCAGGGGATCTGACAGCCTCTTCTGTCCTTCGTGGGCATTGCACAACACAGGTGCACTTACATACATGCAGGCAATACATACATACACATAAAATAAAAATAAAGAAAAAAATAAGAATCAATACAGCTAGACCTATGGATATATACACATCCATGAACATGTTAAATATTTAAGGAAAACACTCAAGAAATTGATGACAAGACATGGCACAAGGCAGAAACTAGTGACTGAGAGGTAGACAGAGGAGATATTTTCACTGCGTATCTTTGCTTCCTCATGAGTATTCACCTTTATAGTATTTTTCAATTAAAAGTACTAATTCTGACTGATGGGAGGGTTGAGGGTGGAAAAAGGGAGGGTAATGAGAGAGATGAACACAGGCAAAGTACAATGATATACATGTTGAAAATGCCACAGTGAAGCCCAGTACTTTGTGTGCTAACCAAAATAATAAAGTATGAAAAATACATAAAGCATATATTAAAAAGTCCACAGAAGCAACAGAATATTCTATCAGTAGTCTCTATTATAATTTCTTTGGACAATTAAACTAATTCTACTTTCAGGCTGGGGAGACAGCTCAGCGAATAAAGCACTTGCCATGCAAGTGTGAAGACCGGGGTTTAGATCCCTAGTACCCACATAAAAGCTGAGTGGATCTGGCAACGCACCTGTAATCCCAGCCCTCAGGAGGCAGAGACAAGGGATCCCCTGGCCCAGTAGGCTAGCTAAGGTAGCTGAATCAGTGAGTTCCAGGTTCAGTGAGAGACTGCCTCAGGAAATATAGTGCAGGGAGATGCCTGATGTCAGTCTCTGGCCTCCACATGCATCCAGACACACATGCACCTGCACATGAGAACCCATACACATGCATGAACATCACTTACATATACACATATGAATTCTATTTTCCCCTTCCATTACATATGTTATTTATATAGTACAGATTACATTCCACTAATATTCTATGCATAATAAGAGATTGTGCTCCAATATATTATCTGTAATATTGGACATTTGTTTCTTGTTCTGTTTTGTTTTAAGATGAGTCGCATGCAGCCCAGGCTGGTCTCAAACTCAATATATAGCTAAGGATGACCTTGGACTCCTGAGCCTCCTGCTGCCACCTTCCGAGTGCTACGATCACAAGCCTGTGCCACCACACCCAGCCTTAGGCATTTACTTTCTGGCATTCTGTGTATAATTAGCCATCCTATGAACAGCTTTGTACATAAAACCTTCCCAGTGGTTAAAATTATATATTTATTGCTGATTCTCAATGGTAAACTCATTGGGTCTGAAGTGAGGTATTTTACAAATATTTAATTTAGAAATGTTTGCCAGAACATTTCCTTTAATCACGTTTATGATTTTCCTTGTTTATAGGAGTGCCTGCTTATGGCATATAATTTGGAGAATACAGAAAAGTTCAGTTAGCTAATAGAGATGATGTGTTCTGCACTCTCAGTGAAAAGCATTCAGAAGGCGTCTCTATTTCCTTCTTCTCCGTGGACTACTTCTATCTGAGGCTGTCACATTTGTGAGGCCCAAGGTAAGAGTCTTAGGGAAAAGGGCACCTCCTGACTCCCTTTACTTATTCCTGAAGGCCCTAGAAGAAAGGGTGGGCATCTCTGTGACACTGGCAAAATCACAAGTGTCCTTCCTAGATATGACAAAATGGCATTTTGCTTTTCATTTGAGCCACCCTGAGCAAAGGAACCTGAGCCACTGGTGACTGCTGGACTAGAGCACACCCAGAGCTAAGTACCTCCTGTCCTACAAGTCCCACCTGTTCCCAGGCCTGCAGACCATACCACCCACCCTGCCCCAGGGGGCACGTATGTCCATGGTCAGGGCACTAGCCTGTGCTGGAGGGCGGAGGCGATGCTGAGGATCCAGAACTTGCCGAGGATGCAGCCGAATGCCAGGTGGGTGTACTGTGTGTCCTGCAGCGACACTACCCAGGGGAACTCTGAAGGTCTGACCAGGTTCTCCTCTGACTGGTCCACAAGGTTGGCCTTCTGGATGCCACAACCTGCAGAGGGGGCATGGGCCTCATTGCAGGGCAAAGAGCTGGCCCTGTGGGCACCTCACCCCAGCCCTTGGAACCCCTCTTCTGCTGGCTCTGTCTTGTTGTGGCTGTCTCTACTGCCCTGCTGTTTTGCTCATCCTAGGGGATTTTCTTCCGCATAAAAGATATGGGGTGTCCAGCCCCAAATGGGACAGCTATGTCACACAGGGAACATTTTGTAAGAAGGGGCCAAAAGATTGCTAAGAGCCTGAAGCCCAATGACTGCTGTGTGATAGTTCTGGACAGGACAGGAATGTTGCTCCCACAAACTCATAATATGGTTGTCTGCACAAACCTGCCAAGACCACACCAGTGGACAGGCCACCACGGATGGAAGGCATTTCCACTCCCACATGAAGAGCTAAGGGCAGACAGAGAACCAGTTTTTTGTTTTTGTTTTGTTTTGTCTTCAGGGACAAGACCCCAATCCTAAGCAGTCAGCAAATAAAGGCAACACTAATCAGACTCAGTAAGTTGTGTGTGTAACAAAAAGAAATATAAAAGAGGCCATGAATTCAGGAGGGAGTAACTGGGGGGACACGGAAGGAGTTGAAAAGCGGGGAGGGGAGTGGAAATAATGCAGATACAGTGTGTTCTCATGTATGAAATCTTCAAATCCAAAAAGAAAATTTCAAGATGCTCAGTGGCATCTTTGAACCTGAAAGTCAGAGACTATTAGACTATGACCCTTCTGTGCTATTGACACTTCCAGGCTGAGCTCAGCACGACATGCTAGGACATGTCGGGCATTTTTTTCTCTGCAAGGTGTCCTCTGAGACCTGAGGGCATTCTCTAGGCCTTTTCTTTGAGGGAAAAGTTGTTACTTGCTTTCCCAACTCTCCTTCTCTCACAAGTGTATGGAGCAGATTTTCCAGACCCATGACATCATCATTCTGACAGCCAACCATATGTGTGAACTTGTATGTTCTTGGGTTTTAACTTTTTCTCATTTAATTTCTACTGTTAAATATGAAAGATAAAGCTCATGCTGGTGAGTTTTAACTGACAACTTGACCCGACCTGGAATTACTTGAGAAGAGAAGTCTTTCATGAGAAATTATCACAATCAGATAGGCTTGTGGGCTATTAATTGATATAGGAAGACCCAACCCACTGTGGGTAGCACCATTCCCTAGACAGGGGGTTTTGAACTATCTATGAGTGAAGAAAGTACCAGGCACACAGGACGTGGACGTGGAGGCAGGTGGATCTCTGAGTTTGAGGCCAGCCTATTCTACATAGTGAGCTCCAGGCCTGCTAGGGCTATGCAGTGAGAGCCTATCAAAAAGAGAGGGGTGTGAAGAAAGCTAGGTGAGCAAACAGGCAGGCAGCAAGGGTGCATTCATTTCCCTTTGCTCTTGACTGTGGCTGTGATGTGACTAGCTGCCTTGACTTCCCCTCAGTGATGGCTGATACCTGGGATTGTAAACCAAGTAAACCTTTCCTCCTCTATGCTGTTTTTGGTCAGGGTGTTTTATCACAGGAACAGAAATGAAACTAGGACAAAGCCCCCTAAACGAAAACTGTTTGGGGTCCACAATGACTTTGTTTTAGACAGGGACTCACTGTGTGGCCCTGGCTGGCTTGGAACTTGCTATGTAGACCAGATTGGTCTTGAACTCAGAAATTTGCCTGCCTCTGACTCTCAAGTGCTGGTAAATGAATGAGAAGAATTTTATGTGTCAATTAAAAAGCTTAAAAATAGGGAGGCAGAGGCAGGCGGATCTCTGTCAGTTCGAGGCCAGCTTGGTCTACATAGTGAGTTCCAAGGCAGCTAGGGCTACAGGGAGACCCTGTGTCAAAAAGACCTCCCCCCCAAAAAAAACTTAAAAATAAAACACACTTGGTGAAGGGGGTGGTGGAGAGAAGGGAGGGGGAGGAACAGAAGGAGGGAGGAGAGAAAGAAGGATAAGGGAGGGAAGGAAAGATAAAGCAAGACTTTGAAGGCATCCTTCACAAAAAGATGGTGACTCCATGAGCTGCTTTGCTCTCTCAAGCTGCTGACTCCCTCCACTGCTCTGTGTCCTCCCTCACTGGTTGATATGGTCTGTTCTGATGAGTTCTTGTGTCCACACGACTCATTCCCAGCTCCTTATAGAGCTGAGGTGCCTGTCTCCTGCTCATGCCCAAGCAGAGTCAAGCGCAGAGATTCTCTACTTTGAAGGCACATTACTTATACCAGAATCTCTGGAAGCTGCATTTGCTAAACATACCCCGGGGTTTACCTTAATGTGTATTTGGGAAGAGCCTGGATGCACAGTACAAAGTGCGGTTAGTCTCAGCATGCTGCGAGACCTCAAGTAAAGCTACTACACCTCTCTTTTTCCTCTTTTGAAATCTGGAGGCGAAGTCTTAGACTTGCACAGCCCTTGGGGTTATGGTAAGATCACAGAGTAAGATTATACGGAGATGCTTTACAACCTATATCCATGAAGATGACAGTGCTAAGCCCTAGGGGCAGAATGAGCAATTCTGCTTCCCAAAAATGCAAACTACTGCTCAGCTTGCTCTTACAAATCCCAAATTGCAAGCGCTCAATGCCTTGTTTCTCTGTGTTGGTACCCTTGGGTCTTGGGTGTCATGTGATAGGCACCACAGCAGACTGTATGCACTGGACTACTGGTGAACACTATACACTATCTCAGCCACACAGCCCTGCCAGGCACTGGGCTGGGGACTGAGATGCAAGGATGGACTTGGAGAGTCTGTCACAGTGACATGTGAATGACTGATGGCCGTGCAGATGCTATGACCCAGTGGATGTACCTTCAGAAGAAGAGTCATGAAGCCTAGAAGGGCTTCCTCTGGTGGTGAGTTTGGATGTCAGCAGCAAAGACAGTTTCCAAATCATGATACCAGAGCCCATTGTCCCCTAAATTGCCATCATTAAAAAACCCAGAGCAGACCAGGAGTGGTGGCACATGCCTTTAATCCCAGCACTCAGGAGGCAGAGGCAGACGAATCTTTGGGAGTTCAAGGCCAGCCTGGTCTATATAGTGAGTTCCAGGCCAGCTGGGACTATAGGGAGACCCTGTCTCAAAAAGACATAAAAATAAAAATAGAACCCAGAGGACAGCTCCACCTCTCCATTGTGGGGCATTTTGAGACCAAAGACCAAATCCCCATCCACAGCCCCTTATAGATTTTGCTAGAAAGGTGATGAGGACACTAACTGTTTTAAAAACACTGGTGGTTCTTTGTCTGTGGTCTGATTTTTCTCTAGGGACACATACAGAATATGAGGTATTAACCAATCCTGGCTAACCCAGGACTCTCCATGTGTGTGTCCAATACTGCTTTTTCCAAAGTTCCACTTGGACGCTGGGGAAGTATCTCAATGGTAGAGTCTTGTGTAGAGTCCCTACCACATGTATGTTCCATCTCCAGGGCTGCAATGAGGAAATCTGGTCCATAGATGAAGTGCTTTCTCTGGGTCTCAGCTATGGCTTAAAGGGAGAGGGGCCCTTTCTGTGTTTTCTGTGTTTTTGGTCCTCTTGGCAGGCCAGTGGAAGAGGCTGAGGAAGCTGTGGGATTTTTGCACACTGTGTATGCGTGCATGAATGTGTGTGTGTTCACTTACCTCCCATCTCACTGCCAGGATGGCAGCAAGGCAGACAGAGTCTGTTTGAGTCAGCTGTCTACTCTTCACCTGACTTTTCCTATCAGCCTAGAGGCCAGGGAGGATGGGACCACAGCAGCCACTTCTGCCACTTGAGAAAACTATCCTGGGATCAGGGTCACCATTTGCAGAGCAGAAATGTACCCTAGTCTCTCATTGACACCTCCGCCCAACAGGCCATTGTTGTGGCCTAAGGCTGATTTTGCTAACTGCCTCCTACCTTAGAATTAGCCCTGACCTCAGGCAGCAGTATCCCATATCTGTGCCTCCCACATTCCCTGTGTTGCCTGGTTTCTTGTCACCAACACATCATCTGCCTTCCTAAGTCCCTCTCTTGACACTAAGGGCCACTTCATTTTCCTGGAACCGCCCCCCAACCCCCGACACTGGGCTGCACATGCCACTGAAAGGCCCAGGGAAGGGAACCACACACTCACCAGTAGATGATGAGTGGGACACACACAGCAGTACCAGCAGTGTCCCTCTCATCTCTGCCATCACCAGAGAGAAGCACAGCGAGCACCACGGGCAGCTGAGAAGACAGAAGACTGGAGACTCCATCACCTTCCCACACCAGCTCCTCTGCCTCCAAAGGGGTGATTCCCAGCATAGGAGCCTGTTCCTCCACAGTCATCAAGATCCCAAATGCGAGAAACTGACCTGTCACATCCCAGCTCTGTGCAGAAACAGGCAGGAAGCAGCTCTCTGGGTCCAACGCTCAGCTAGCAGTTTGTGAGATGGCCCAAGGAGAGAAGGTAGCCTGCTTTTTCCAGTTTTCTTCTCAAAGCAGCCTAGGGCCCTGGATTTTCTAGAAAGTTGGTTCTTTAAAGAGGGTTGTTTTTTGACTCGTGGAATTCAACCCTTGCTTTAACTCTATAGCCATAAAATATTAATGGAAGAAGAGACAGTGTTTTGGTGGGAGTGCCCCCAGAGCTTGGTGTCTCTGCTGTGATTCTGCCCCTCCTATTAAAACTCCGCTGGATTAAGGAGCTGGAGAGATTACCAAGTGGTTAAGGCAATTGATTACTCTTGCGGAAGACCTGAGTTCTGTTCCCAGTGCCTGCTTCTGGTGGCTCGCAATCACTTGTAACTCCAGCTCCAAGGGGAGGCAAGGCCTTTGGCCTCTGTGGGCACCTGCATTCACATGCACATACCTCACTCACATACATACATCTAATTAAAAACAATACAAATGAAAACTAGGCTGGATTAAATCATGCTGGGATGTCTTTTTCACTAGGAACAGAGGAACAGTCCCAGTGCTTAGCTCAGTCCATTCCTATAACCACCCTACGACACAGATACTCTCATAATACTTTTTTTTTTGTCTTTTTGAGACAAGGTCTCCCTGTAGCCCTAGCTGGCCTGGAACTCGCTATGTAGACCAGGCTGGCCTTGAACTCACAGAGATCCATCTGCCTCTGCCTCCCCAGTGCTGGGATTAAAGGCGTGCACCACCACACCCAGCACTCATAATTCCATTTTACAAACCCAGAAACTGATACTCAGAGGCACAAGGTCACATAGCAACTAAGTGGTGAAGATGGAATGTGAGCTCAAAGCTCTCTGAACCCTAAGCCCGTGGGGGCTTCACCCCACATCATACCTAACCAGGCCAACATCTTGGCCTTAAACCATGTGCCATGACCTAAGGAAGTCATGTGCACAATTCTAAGTCACCATGTTTCCCTCATGACATCAGATGGGTTTTTTTTTTGGGTCCCCAGGATGGTCCTCAGAGTTCTTCCATAAACTGCTCCCATTAAAGGAGAATGAACTCACTGTGTTGCTTTATGCAGCAGAGCTCTACAGTAGAGTTTCTTCTATGCCTTGGAAAGAATGTTCCATTGTGGTGTCATGGTTACTATGGCATCTCTCAGCAGACATCTTAACATGGAGACTTAGGAGGAGCTAGGATAAAACACCTGATTTTACCTGGCCTTAGCAGGGCTCTTCTGGAAGGTACTTTCCTAGTCTGGCTAAGAAGATATCCCTCTGGTAGATGTCAGAGTTCTTTTAGTTGTAGCATGGCTGTCTCCAGTTCAACACCACTCTACATCTATACAAGTTGCCCGGCAGGATGGGCTTGGAATATTCAGTCCCTGTCAGCATTCCTGCTCTGACTTCTTTGAGGCTGAGCCTAGTTTTCTTCCCTAATGCTCTTAAGCTAAACTCCTGGCCAGGTTCTAGAAAACCATAGGGCCAGATGGAATCTGCTCTCCAGGAGCTGAGAGCACCTTTAGTTTCAGCACAAGGAGAAGCAAGTTGGCAATGTTGTGGTAAGATGTAACTGTGGAACTGGAGAAGGCTCCCGGGCTCCTGCACACGTGCACATCTCCCTCCCCGCCCCAGACACACACACAGAGACACATTTTTTTAAAAATAATCTTTAAAGGCCAGGTGTGGTGGTGCATGCTTTTAATCCTAGCACTTGGGAGACAGAGGCAGGCAGATCGCTGAATTCAAGACCAGCCTGGTCTACACAGTCCCAGGACAGCTGGAGCTACAGAAAGACCCTGTCTCAAAAAGACCCCCCCAAAAAAATTCTTTAAAGAAAACTAAGCAGTGCAGTAGGCAGACAGAGGCTAAAGTGAGACTTTGAGGATTGTACCTCTACTCCCTACCCCAACCCTCACCTCTGCTTAACACATGAGTGGCAACCCCAGGCCCCAAGGATAACTCTTAATATAGTTTGATTCTTGAGCTGTATATTTATATTTAAAGTTAACCTGAAAAAGTTTACACACAACAAACATTAAGTCTGGGGGGAAAGTAAACAAAGGACCATAGGTGAATTAAAATGAAAAATACTCTTTCAATATAGTGTTCCTCAAAGTGTAGAGTGTACACAGCTGAAGTTTAAATTGCCTACAGTAGCACTGGTTCAAGTGGAATTTACAGACTTCAACCTGACCTGATTCAGAGCGTGTCTATGTCAGGAGAATATGCATTTCAGGGAAACTCCAAACTAGCAAAGCTGGAGGCCTGTTTTAGTGAGAGTGCCTTAGATCTCCGCTGAACTTCCAGAAAGCTTGTTTGACCTGTGGCTGCTTAGTATCTTGACTTCATCAGTTTTCAGATATATGTTTTTTGTTTTTTTTTTGGTGCCGAGTATGAAATTGAGGCCTTTATGCATTCTAGATGCTAGGCAAGTATTCTGCCACTGATCTTCATTCCTGCCTGGATTTTAGAATATTTAGTTGCTGTGGTAGAAAATACAGCACTGTATTTAGTGATGTGATATGAAGGTGTGGGCATGATGATCCTCTCACATACAGCAGCTGTATACTTTTCCCAGTTCATCTCCCTGTGTAGGGATGACTTACATGTGGACAGACTTTGGACTAATGGCTTTTACTTAACCTTGTGTTTGTAATACAAACAAGCTCACTGAGCCATGTGCTCTTGAGACCTGGGCACCTGACCTTGATCCTTCTGGACCCCACTTTCCCCTCCACCCAAGACGATCATTGAATGTGGTTGTGCATATCAGAATGCCGGAAGCAGCATTCTCATATTTTTCATGTTCATTCATATGCTGTCCTCATTGAAGACAGAATAACTGAGTATGCTTGACACTGTGTATTAGATAGGCCTCAGGATCAAAGGGCAAGATTCTCTGATAAGAGTGGATCCACGCTTGTGGCTCCCCAGTTGATGCTGGAGATACTCTTTGAATAAAACTAAGAGTGAAGCCCAGCTAAGGAGCACAGTTCCATGAGAATTCTGAAGGAGTAAACTCCTGGGGTTTGGACCCGCTCTTTTTTTGGTCTTTTTGAGCCAGAGTCTCCCTGTAGCCCCAGCTGGCCTAGAACTCACTAGACCAGGCTTGGCCTTGAATTCACAGAGATCTGCCTGCCTCTGCCTCCTCTGCTGGGATTAAAGGTGTGTGCCACCACGCCTGAATGGATCCACTCTTGACTACTGAAACTTAATTGAAACTTAATGCAAAGAATCAGGCTGTTATTTATTCAGGTACAACCGTAATGTGGCTTTAGTAATGCCACATCCCTAGTATGGAATCCATGGGATCATTCCAAGGTGTACATGTATTATGCAAAATTAGATCAAGTTTAGGGGTATTGAGTGTGAGTTCTTCCTGAGGAGGAAAGTATATAATGTATAATGTGATCAGGTTGTTAATAGTTGTGAATTTCTATTACAGGCTAACTATGGCAGGCTGGTGAGAAGGTTCAGGAGGTTAAGGCACTTGCTGCCAAATCTGACAATCTGAGTTCTATCCCCAGAACCCACGTAAAGGTGAAAGGAGTCAATTCCTGCAAGGTGTCCTCTGACCACGTGTGCTGAGGCATGTGCACCCACATGTACACATATACGTAACAAATATATATTTGAAAATCACTTATAACTGGGCATGGTGACCTACTTGGAAGGCAGAGGCAGGCATATCACTCTTTGAGGCCAGCTTGATCTACCTAATGAGTTCCAGGCCAGCTAGAGCTACATAGTGAAACTCAAAAAAAAAAAATTACTTCTACAGGTCAACTACCAACAAGCCTGATGACCTGGGATCCATGTGGTGAAAGTTGAGCACCAACTCCTACATTTGTTCTATGACCTCCACACATGCACCATAGTGCACACACCCTCCCTCCCCAAATAAATATAATTAGAAAGTTTTTTTTGTTTTGTTTTTGTTGTTTTTAATTTTGTATTTTTGAGACAGTGTTTTGCTGTATAGCCCAAGCTGGCCTTAGACTCATGTCTTCTTTCCTCAGCCTCCCAAGTGTTTGGTACTACAGGCTGGGGCCACCATACCGGGCTATTAAAATAATTTAAAAAGGATGACACACTTGTTCCATTCACTTGAGGACTGCATTTATATATGTGAACTCTTTGAAGTGTTGATGTATGTCATTATTAGCAAAGGTTTCTGACCTGACTTTTTTTTTTTTGTTTTTTAGGTCATCCTATGCTGATATGCTACATGATAAGGACAGAGTAAGTATAAAGGAAACCGTAATCTTTTTTCGGTCTCTTTGAGACAGGGTCTTCCTGTAGCCCCAGCTGGCCTGGAACTCACTATGTAGATCAGGCTGGCTTCGAACTCAGAGCTCCACCTGCCTCTGCCTCCTGAGTGCTAGGACTAAAGGTGTGTGTCACCACACCTGGCTATACCATAATCTTTTTTAAAAAATGACTTACTTATTTTTATTTATACAAGTACTTTGCTTGCCTGTATGGTATATGTGCAGTGCCTGTGGAGGCCAGAAGAGGGCGACAGAGTCACCATGTGGCTACTGGAAATCAAACCTAGGCCCTCTGGAAGAATAGCAAGTTCTCTTAACTCCTGAACCACTTCTCCAGCTTGGAAACCATAATCTTGATGTGCTAATTTGGAATCATGGATTACATGGAAGTCTGAAACTCCCCCAGGAATCAGGTTGTTCATTGATAATGAGCTGTATGGTGTAATAGAAACTCAGTTGGAATGCTGGGCTCTGCCTCTGGCTGTGTTCCACAACCACCCACAGCTTTATTAAGATACAGTTAGCAAGGGCTGGGCAGGTGGCTCAGTTTAAAGTGCTTGCTATGCAAGCATGAGGACCTGAGTTCTGATTCCAAGCACTCAAGTAAAAGCCAGGCGTGTCAGTATGTGTCTGAAGCTTCAGCACTGGGGTGGCAGAGACAAGCAGATTGTAGGGGCTTGCTGGCCAGCTGTCCAGTCTAGACGAACCAGTGCACCTAAGATTCATTGAGAGACCCTGTCTTACATACCGTAAAGAATGATGAAGATTCTAGCTTTGGCTTTTGCATATGCACACATGAGAGGACACAACCCTAACACATGTGCACATTAATATATCACACACACAAGATGGGATTGACAAATAAAAGTTGTGTATATTCAT